CACACACACACACCCCAGCCGTTGCGCCCTCACTCCCTAAAACCCCTCAACTCAACCCCTGTCTCTAAAACCCTGAAACTTGCTCCCCCAAAACCCCACACCTGGGTCTCCATGTTTTCCTTGTAAAGCACAAACTTCACATACCGCCGCCCAGAGCCCCCGGGCCACCCCGCGTCCTGCCTCCACTCCCCTCTCCCCCGCTTCCTATCCCCGCCCCCGCCACCGCCGCCGTGGCTGCCCCGGCCGCGGCTGGCGGTAGCTGCAGGGGTGATCTGAATGACGTGCGCCGCGCCGCCGCCGGGGTCGGGCGCGGAGTCCGACGCGAGCGGCGGCAGGCGGGGATCGGTCCTGACGAAGGCGTGGATCGCCTGGGGGCGCCGCCGGGGACAGGGGTTGGGTTTCGGGGGTCAGGGTTTAGAAAGGGGGCAGCAAGGGGGGGGGGGGTGGGACGCCGGACGGCGGGGTTGGATGTGGGAGGTGGCGCGGCGCGGCAGGGCCGGTGCGGGGCGAGATGCGGTGGGTGCGGGAGGACGATAGCCGGCAGAGGGAGGCGATAAGGAATGCGTGATACATGTGGCGTGGGGCAAGAGCGCGGTGGCCCCTCACCTTGCGCGCATCCTTGCTATCCACAGGCAGCAGCGTAGCCACCAACGCTGCCGGCGCAGCCGCCCCCGCTTCCGTGCGAGCGCCGGGGGGCGCCTCGTCCTGCGGCGCTGCCGCGGGCTCGCTCCCTGTTCCGCTCTCGCCTGCCTGCTGCTGCTGCTGCTGCTGCTGCTGCTGCTGCTGCTGCTGCTGGAGAATCCCCTCCACCAGCGCCGTCAGCCGCCGCCCGTTCTCGTCCCCAGCGATCCCAGCAAACTCCTTCAGAGCCGCCTCCACGCCCTCCGCAGACGGCGTTGCCCGCGCGCCCGTGGCGCCGGCGCCCGCGCCGGCGGCGCCGGCAGCGAGGCCGTTTGGGTCTGGGGTGAAGTCGGTCGTGGTGAGGCGCGCGGCTGCTCCGTCTACGCCTACCTCTGACACTTGGAAATCTGTAAACCTGTGAGGATGGATCGATTGCAAGGTGATCCGCGGTCATGAGGCACCTTTCATGTGCTCAATGCCTCCAGTGGTGGGTTGCGGGGCTGGCGCGCCAGCGGCGGGCCGGGGGGCCGCCACAGCACGCCCAGCGCGGGCGTCGGGCGCAGCCGCCGCGCCCGGGGCTGCGAAAGGGGATCGTTCGGCCGAGTCGAGCGCCCACAGCAGCCGAGCAGTGAGGTACTTTATCGCTGCTGGTTTGCACGGCGGGACTTCTGTCGTCTGGAGTGGTCGGCGGCGGCAAGACCGCGTTGTTGCCGCCGCAGCCGCGGCAAGCGTCCATTGGTCACCTGTGTTTGATCAGGCCCGTGAAGCCTCCTAGGCTCCCGCTAATGAACTCTGTGATGCCAACATCCTCTTCTATAGACATCTCGCAACACGTACAGTACCCGAGCTGGCAGATCCCTCGTGCGGGAGCCTTCGGACGAATTAGAAGGGCGTCACAATCCCCATGTGCCAATGCAACGCTTATAGGATGTGATCAGCTGAGCAGGCAGCAAACCGCAGCCGCCGCCACAAAGCGCGCCAAGCAGTTGCCCCGCACAGCCCAGCGGATTCGAGCCATGGCCGCCCCGCCCCCCGGCTTCGCCATTATTGCGCACCGCGGCGACTCCGACGCCGCCCCCGAGAACACATTCGCCGCCTTCGACCTGGCGCTGTCCCGCGGCTTCCCCGCGTTTGAAACCGACGCCCAGCTGTCGGCGGACGGCGCCGCGGTGCTGCTGCACTGCGAGGAGCTGGGGCGCACCTGCGATGGGGCTGGCGACGTCGCGGGCACCTCGCTGGACGCCTTGAAGCAGCTGGACGCCGGATCGTGGTTTTCGCCCCAGTTTGCGGGTGCGGGGCGCGGTTGGGTCTGCTTATTGCAAGGATGGCGCGTTGAGGTACAGGCCAACAGCCCCAGATGGCCCCATGAGTGGGCGACCTTGGGATGCTGGCGCAGTCTTGGAACAATCTTGTATTCCGGGGAATACGCCTTCTAAATGCTACACATACGACTACTGACTGCTTGCATCAATCATGTCTCACGTATCAATGTGCATTTTTGTTTTCCATGACAGCCACACTGCCATGCGCAACCTCATCCGCGGTTGGGCTCAATGTGCCGCCGCATGGCAGGGGAGAGGATCCCGACCCTCGAGGAGGCTCTCGTGCGGTACAAGGGCCGTGCTCACATTCACCTAGTGCGTAGGCCCCTGCCGCAGCCACCGCTGCAGCCCCCCCCCCCCCGCTACCGCCATCGCCGCCGCGACGGCGTGGGCGGGGGCGGGCAGCCAAGAAGGTTTACGCAAACAGTTGATATTCAGGCGTCACGTCGCGCCGTGGCAGAGCGCACCTGGGCTGGGCCGTGGTCTGGTACAACACCTGCGCAGAACATCGAGCCCTTTCAGCGTCTGATCTGTTGATTTGGATCGCTCAAAAGGGTTGACCACCCTCACTTTGACTGCCCCAGTGTTGGACCTCTCTTGAGGCATGCCATCATCAGACCAAGCGCAATCCCGGGTGCCCGAAACCCGCCCACGAAGCACCCGACCGTCCGGCTGCCGTCTCCGCCGCTCCAATGCCGCAGGAGCTTAAGACGGCGCAGCCGGCGCTGCCTGCAGTTGTGGCCGGTCTCGTCCTCCGCCACGGCTGGGCGTGCGGCGGGGCGGCCAGCGGCGGGGCCGGGGCCACGGACGAGGAGCAAGCCGCCGCTGGGGCAGCACGGGCAGGCGTCCACGGCGCCGCAGAGTTGGCCGAGGTTCCGGGGATCACTTTAACCTCATTCCATCTGGAGCAGCTCGTGCGGTCCAAGGAGGTGGGCACGCTTCTGCGCGCGGAGGGGGCCCTCGGCTGCTGGGGGTTCGGGCGTGGTGCAGCGGCGGAGGGCTGCCGCGGCGGCGCAGGGGTGCATCCCCCATGCAACGTTCAGAAACCAGAACCGCTGATGTGATTGCTGGCGCCGCGGCGCCGGCCACCTTGCATTTGCAGCTGCTGCCAGCGGTGCGCCACGCGTGGCTCATCCAGGAGTGGGGCCCCGGCCTTGCTGACGAGGCGCGATCCGCGGGGGTCGAGGTGATCTGTCCGAGGGCCAACGCGCTGTCCAAGGTTGCCGTCGACGAGATCAAGGCGGCCGGGTTTGGCGTCAGGGCGTGGGGCGTGAAGGACGAACGGGTGGGTCTGTGGGGCGCAGGGGCGAGGGGCTGTCCGTAATGGATGTGCGCGCGTGGTTCGGGCGGTGCAGCTTTCCGGGCGTGTGCGTGTGCGCATGTGTGTGTGATCATGAGTGCAGGGGCGGCGCACGTGCTGCATCAGGAGCGCGCTCACAATCAACGGCTTGCAAATGTCTAGCTGTGCCTCACAAACTCCACAAGAGATTGAGTGGCGGCCCCCGCCGTCATTGACTGCAAACCTGTAATGCCGCCACATGAATTGAGTGGACACCCTCGGGGCCACCTCTCCATACACTGAGTGACACCCCCGGCGCCACTCTCACCCTGCGTGACTGGTCAGTTGCTGCTGCACGCAGTCGCGTGCGGCGTGGACGGCGCGACGGTCAACTGGCCCTCGAAGGCTGCTCAATTATTGGAGCAGCAGCGGGAGCACTAGCAGGACCAGCAGGAAGAGCAGCAGCGGGAGCAGCAGCGGGAGCAGCAGCGGGAGCAGCAGCGGGAGCAGCAGCGGGAGCAGCAGCGGGAGCAGTAGATGGACGAGGCGCAGCACCCTTAGCTGCAAAACAAATCCACATGATCATCATCATCAGCAGCAGCAGCAGCGGCAGCAGCAGCAGCAGCATGTGGAGCGTGATGCAACATTACACAACCGACTTCGCTTGCGATGGAAGCTGTCGGGTCATACCTGCGCAGCAGCACGGCAGCCAGTGCAGTCGGCGTAGCGGCTGTCTATCTGTCTAGCGTTCTGGAGCAAGAGTCGGTTTTGCCTTGACGGCGCTCCTCCACGCCTTGCTCTGTGCGTCACACCGGCTGACGTTGCTTGCAAGCTTCGACTGGCAGAGCCGTCCATTTGCCGTGCTGCAAGCAAGGCAAAAGGTGGTGGCGGCGCGTGGCGCGTCCGCACAATTGATCGCACAATTGATCGAGTGCTGTGTAAATATCGCAGCGGTTACAACAGCAATCTTCAACATACTTTGATCATATTTCTAGTTTTAAAATGCGTTCAAGGCTTCTGCGGCGGCAGCCCGCGGGTCACGCAGGATACGTGGCTAGTGGTGGGCGGCACGGCAAGAGGGCATGCGTTCCACACACGCAGCACTGCAAGCGTCCATACCCACACACATGCACACACCAGCCCCCGACCGGCCACCTCGACTGGTGGGCGGCGCAGCAATACACAAGGCAGTGCAGCAAGACACATGTGCTCGTTGGCAAACAGTAGTGCAGTGCGTGGGCGGGGCGAAAGTCTCGAAAGCACAGCAGGCAAATGGTGCCTCTGCGCGCCGCGTGTTGAGCGGTCGTGTCCCCCCAAATTGCGAAGCTCGGTCCCAGCCGGCGACGCGGGCGGTGCGCCGGGGCCGTTGCCGCAGCGAGGCCCTCCTGCCGTCCTCGCCTTGGGCGATTCGCGCGACGGGCAGGCGTGAATTCGATTTATGCCCAACCGCGCGGCACTGTCGGTGCTCACGCCTCAAGTCTCAACAGAGGGCCCTAGACAGATGGGCTCCCACTGCAGCGGAACATGGGAGGCAAGGGTCAAACCAATAGCAGGGTGGTTGCGCAAGCGGGTTTGAATACGCGAAAGCACTGTGGATGGTGCGAAAGGCGCTGCTGCATTTGCGCAGCGCTGGCCTCGTCGCTGCAGGAGGTGCTGAGCGCGCGCGCGGCGATGGGTGCAGGCGCGGGCGCGACGCGCCGCGGCCGCATCCGCTGTGCATGCAGCGGCCTGGCCGGACGGCCAGCGGCAATGGCGGCTGGCTGTCTTGGGCTCGGCTAGACGGTGATGCAAGCGGGCAGCCGCCGCTGATTGGCGCGGCAATCCTGGAAGGCAGGGCAAGTGCAGACCAACCACCGATGAGGGCTCCTGCAGCTGCAAGTTCTTAGGCCGGCAACAGTCGTACGAGGACCAGCAACAGAGTGTGGGGATTGGATTGCTTGTCTTGTGGATTTGGGTGGTGATAGCGCCGCTCTGGGGTGGCAGGCCTTCAGGCACACCCCGCAAGAGCGCGCCCGCGTGACGAGCGTGCGGTCTAGGCAAGTGCCGGTTGCTTGTGCCAGGACGGCAAAAGAAACAGGGACGGCACCGCGGCAGCCAGCGCCGTCGCGAATCCCTTTTGCCCAGCCAAGACTCGAGGCCGCACAAGGCGGCGCACGAGTCAGCCTAAAACGCGCGCAGTGGTGCGCGCCGCGGCAGGGCGGGGCAAGCGGCGCAGATTGGCCAGCCATCGGCTTGGGGCAGAGGCAGGTGCATAGCGGTGCGGGTGATTATTTCTCCAAACGGGGGAATGTTCAGTGGATGAATCCATCGGTGCTCCATGTGAAGAGGCAGGATCAAATGGACCACTGACAGAGGGCAGAAATCGAAAAACCTCAAGGGTTTTGCAGACAAATAACTGAGCATCCTGAGAAGATTGCTCATGAACATTTCACACGAAGCAGTGCAGGGCGCGGGTGGAGCCGTGCGGTGGGGCGTCGTCAGCGGTGGTGGCGCGATGGCGGCCGCTGAGAACGGCAGCGGCGGATGCGGGAGAGCGGGTGGCCGCCCATGGGCTGCCGTGGCCCGTGCTGGGCAGCAGTGCAATGTGACGTATATGCACCTGATTTGTTGTCGCTGTGTGTTTGCGCCAATGTTGTATGGCAGTGTTTGGGCTTGGGTTGAGCAATGCCTGAGAGTCATGCAGGCGTGCCCTGGAGCATTTAAGGGCCCAAGTGGCCGCGAAGGCGGCACAGCGGGCGCACCCCTCAAAACTCTACCTGGGGTGCAGCTTTGATGACAGCCCCCTTCCCCCTGGCCATCGCCGGCCCGGCGCGTGCCACTGCCAAGCGCAGCGGACAAGGCAAGGCCGCGCAACACGCGCAGCGCGGCGAGCGGCGCGGTTGGTCCCTGTGCTTGCAAAGCGTGCGGCCGCCGATGGCCAGGCGCACTCGTGCGGGTCACCAGCTGCCAGGCGCAGGGCCGCCCTGGTCTGGGGGCTGCCATAGCAGAATGTACTGCTGCGGCGCCCCGTCCCCCTGCAAGACGACTGAAGATGGGCCCGCAGCTGCCGAAGTAGCCGGCAGGGCCCCTGTCCCGCTGCCGGCAGCTAGAGGTGGTTGGGCGGCTGCGTAGTCGAAGGAGGGGTAGGCAGGAGCCCAGAAGCCCCCGCTTACGACGGCCGCAGCGCTCTGCTGCTGCTGCAGCGGTGGCTGCTGCTGCTGGTGCTGCTGCTGAGGCTGCCGCTGTGCTGCAAGCAGCTGCAATGTGCCGTCGGGATGGTGATATGCATAATACTGGGGCGCCACGGATGTCGCAGCCGTCGGCGCCGCAACATGTTGGGGAGCAGGCTCATTATAGGATGACAAGTGTGAGTTTGTGCATGAGTGCGTCACCCACACAACCTCCTGCTGCTGCTGCTGCTGCTGCTGCTGCTGCTGCTGCTGCTGCTGTTGCTGCTGCTGCTGCTGCTGCTGCTGATGCCACGCCGCCGCTGCCGTCACCGGAAACGCACCACGCATCTGCGGGAGCACCAGCTGGGCTTCAAACCTCGCGGCGTGTTCTGCGGGGCGTGGCGCCGCCATATTTACACGGTCTGTTCCACCTGCCAGTGAGCCTGCCTCTCCATCCTGCACCTGCGCTTGCAGCATGCGCCCGGCGCCATGCTGCGGCGTGTGCACTACAGCCCCCGCCGTCTGCAAAGGGTAAGCGGCGGCCGTGCCGCCAACCGCGGACGAGGCCCCTGGCACCGCGCGCGCGGCGGCCGGCAGCGGTGCGGGCGACATCTGCCTGGGTGAGTCGTCGCTGCCGGCGAGGAGTGGTTGCTGCAGTCTGAGCCTGGCTTGCGGCGTGATGCCCGCCCATGGAGGGCGGGGTCCTGCTGCCGCTGCCGCCGCCGCAAGCGTCGGCAGCGCTCTGCCGCGATCCAGACTGGAGGGGATGACCATCGCAGTAGTCCTGGGAAAACTCCCGTATGGCGGCAGCGGCTCTCTTGCTTGGGCAACGAAGGGCATGGGCGAGCTGTGGTGTCGCAACAACATTGGCTGCTGCTGGAGCTGCTGCTGCTGGAACTGCTGCTGCTGCTGCTGTTGTTGCTGTTGCTGTTGCTCCTGCTGCTGTAGCTGCTGCTGTGGCAGCTGTGGTTGTGGCTGCTGCATTTGCTGGTGCAGCAGTTGCTGCTGTTGCTGCGGCAGTTGCTGCAGCAGCTGCAGCTGTGGCTGCTGCTGCTGCTGCGCCTGCTGCTGCGGCTGCTGCACTATCATGGCAGCAGCCGCAACAGCGGCGTCTGCCCGCGACGCGCCAAGGGCTGGGCTCTCTTGGCTAGCCGCAGCATTCGGGGGTGCCCGCAGCTGCTCGTTGCTGTGTGCAAAGAAGCACACCTGAGGCAAGGGCAAGGGCGAGGAGGGCACAGGATGGGCGAAGAGACGAGGCAGACGATGGTAGGCAGAGGACTGCTGGGGCAAACTGCTGTTGCGTCTGATGGCGCACCTCGGGCTGTGCGCAAAAGGCAGGTGGTAGCATGCAGGCTTAGCTTATACGAGCGCATCCCTCGGCCCCAACCGCTCAGCGCCGTTCTGGGGCCTCACCCTGCGCGTGCATGCGCTCCCATCTGCGCACATCTGTGGGGTGTTGGCGGCGTTGCAGAGCAGGCGCGGGTCAGCTTGCGGAGTGCCAGCCGTGGCCATGCACATGGAATGCAACACCGCCAGCTGCGGCCTGAGGCTTTTCGTCTGATCCCCCCGTAAACGCCTTGCGCTGCAGCGGCACCCGCCAGCACTTTGCTGCCGTCCTCCCTGCGCCGCGTGTGCGTCTGCCCCCGCCCCAAGCCATCCAGACCCTCGCATGCTTGCCTGTGTCCTGTACCTGTGGGCAAAGAAGATAGGGGCAGCCAGGCCGCGGTTTAGGCAGCCGTTAGCAACGATGTGTCAGAGGCACTGCCGGCAGGTGTGCGTGGCGGGCGCCGCCCCGGGGCGGCTGCCAGCGGGGGCGCCCGGCCCGCGCGCCGCGGCCTCCGCGCGCGCGCCGCTGCCGCAAATGCATTTGCGCGCAGTTCCGCCGGCGTCGACGGGCCCTGTGAGCCTCCGCGCCGGCCGGGCGCGGCGCGCGGCATCAGCCCGGGCCTCACTTGTCAGGGTGGAGCCACATCTCAAAAGAGTGGTGCGCCATCGGGCAGCCGTCCCCCAGCGGGCAGCGCGCGCCGCGGCGGGCGTAGGCGCAGAGCTCAGCTGAGTAGGCGAACTTGTCCAGCGGCCGCCGCCGCGCATGCTCGCCGGGGTGTGCAAAGGGGCAGCTGCGGCAGCCGGAGGGTGGCAGAACCCGGAAACGGGCAGGTGAGGTCCCGTTGGAGAGGTGCGGGCGAGGCAGGCGGGCGGTAGCATGGCCGCTTGCGCGCTCTGCGAAGCTGATGGGGGCCCCCTCATGCATGGAAGCCGATTTAGCGGGACCCGCTGCCCCGGCGCGGGCGCGAGCGCCGCTCACCACTTCCTGAGGCGTGACCACGAGTCGGAATGTTGCGCCCAGGGGTTTGCGTGCAATCGCAAGCCGTAGGGCGCGTGGCAAGCATCGAGAGGGCAAGTCAGCATCGGCAAGCATCGAGAGGGCGAGTCATCGCATGCGCGGCAGTTGTGGTGATCTGGCCCGTGTCGTACCGATGACGCGCGCGGCGGCTGTGGAACGAGGCGCGGCAGCGCGTCCGCCCTGATTGTGCAGAAGCGCTGTATCAAACAACGCGACAGCCTGATTCGCACGCCGCTGGCGCTCGGGCCGCGATTCATTGCGGTGAATCGCCTGCCTGGCAGCAGCCGTCGAGTGAGTTCCGTCATAAGCAACCTGCCCCGACGGCCCCACGGCCACGCACCAGTCGTGGGGGCCCCTGTTGCTGCATGAAAGGACCTTGAAGGCTGCAATGCGGAACTGATCGGTGCTGTAGATCTCGTGGTCGATGATTCCCTCCCCCAGCGTCCAGGCCCTGTGCTGCCTGTCCGCGCCGTCCTCAGGTGCGGAGCCTGATGGCCCTCCACCCATGGACCGCTGCATGCGCCGAGGTATATCGTTGTTTATGGCGATGCTGGTTCTTCAAGACTCGCAGCTACACGTCCTAAGCAGGGTTTGGTCTCGACACTTCGGGAGTCCCGCACGGCGCAAACAAGATGTGGGTCCATGGGATTGTGTCGATTGCCGCGGTGATTCGACAACAGAATACAGAAATAAAGTCATAAGGACCAGTGTGGATCGCATGTCACCTTGCCCAGCGAGCGTGGACCCGCTATTACTCATGGCAAGGGTGGCCTGTCTGATCTTGTCATCCCTCCCACAATGCACAATGGGGACCGGCAGCACCGAAAGCCACCGTCCATGAAATACAAAATACGAATCCAATGCAAATGGGATGCAGTTTACCCGGCAGGAGTATGCTTTGCCGGGGTGCGTGTTGGCGCAACGGTGGCTGCCGGCTGGCCATTATTAGTGCTGTGTCCAAGTCACGCGAGTGGTGATGACATCGCCCCATATTGGGCCTGTAGTTGCGATTGGTGCATCCAAACACACTCGAATTGCTGCGAAAATCAGCCTTCGTGGGTTTGCAGCCCCCGGGCCGCCCTCGGCCTGCCGCGCTGTCGCGCCACCTGGCGGCGACGGCGCTAGGGCCCCGAGACTACACAGGGAAATGCACGCCGCCTTCCGCATCCCGTGGCCACCGGCCCCAGACTCAATCCAATGGACCTGGATTGCCGAAGCGCTTCTGCACAAGGCAATTATTGTAGAAGCACTGCATGCTGCGACAGCGCGGCGCCGCCTGGCTCATTAGCTGAGACTCTCACCGACTAGGAAAGCTGACACCCAAAATTCATGCATCTCCTCTTGTCCCTGACGCCACCCGCACGAAAGCGATGTGCCCCGGCGGTACAGGCCCCACAGCCGGCCCGCACCCAGCCGCCGCGGCCTGCGGCGCGCACTCCGCGCGGCCAAACCCGCCGGCGGCCGCAATTTCGGCCGCCTTGCATTCAAAAGCGGCGGCCTGCGCGTCCGACAGCTGCACCATGTTGCGCGCCCCCTCAATCAGCAGCGGCGCGCCGGGCGCGAGCGCGGCCGCGGCGCCGTGGGCGGCACCCGCTAAGTGCAGGTGCATGTGGCCGAGCGTCGCGGCCCTGAACTTCCCGGCGAGCGCCGGCCGCCCCGTTACGGCCCTCCTGAGGTCGCCGCACGCGAGGCGGACGCGCGCGCGCGACAGCAGGCGGCGCCACGCCGCGGCGTCGAGGGCGGCGTCACGGGCGCGCAGCGCGGCCTCCTCTGCTCTTGCGCGCTCGCGCGCGTCTGCCGTTCGCTGCTGCTCCTCCTGCTGCTGCTGCTCCTGATGCTCCTCCTGCTGTTGCTGCTCTTGCTGCTGCTCTCGCTGCTGCTCTCCCTGCTGCTCTCCCTGCTGCGACTCTCGCTGCCGCTGCTGCTCTTGCTGCTGCACCTCGCCGCTGCCGTCGCCGCGTGCCGCATCCCTGCTTGCAGCCGCCGCCTCGGCGAGCACTTCGGCGCTCGTCGGACCCCTCGCCGCATGGGCCCGGTGGCTGCCACCAGCGCCGGCGCCGGCGCCGCTGTTTGCGCCCGCGTCGTCCCGGGCTCCCCTTGTGTACGGCTCTCCATGGCGCAGCATGTGCAGCATCGCCTGCAAATAGACAGGCCAAAAAGCAGGCGGCGACCTGAGGTCCGATTCCGTATGGCACACGCATGCGTGCAACACAGGCCTGTTGTGTCCCACTTATTCGGCATGATGCGCATGTGTGCACCCGTGACCTCCCCTTGCTGCCCGACCCTGGCCTCCTACGCATCACGCGTCCCTCCGCACCACCCTGAGCTCCGCTTCTCTGATTGCCCTCTGCTGACCTAGCAAGCCCCGCTGTGCGCAGCGCACCCCGCATGCCCAGCACGCCAAGCACGAGGTGCCCCTGTCAAGTGTCCACCCACGACCCCTCTTTGTCCTGGATTGAAACCCACCATCACATTGTGCTCCGCCACATCCATCGCGCTGTGGGAAAACTGCCGGTTGGAGGTTGAGAAGAGCCCCGCGTCGGGCGCGAGGGGCGCGGTGGTGCCGAAGCAGTGGTATGGGCTGTTGACGACGTCGCCCCAGTAGCCATAGGCCTCGACGCTGCGGCCGACATCCTTGCCGTTCCTGGGCACGTGGGTCCGCGGATGGGGCAATTGCATGGGTACATACTTGTATGCTATTGGCTTGCGTGAGCTTCAGGGGGCCGGTGCTGGAGATGCCCATTGTATTGCCGCATTGCGACAATGCGCAGGATGCAGAGATCAATGGCAGCGTGGGTGCATATGCGCACGCACACACGCACATGCGCACTCTCTCACACACACACACACACATACGCGCGCGCACGCACGCGCGCGCACACACACACACACACACACACACACGCACACACACGCACGCACACACACAGGGATTTGCGTGCAATACGCGCGTAAGCACGTGCGAATGCACAAAGTTCGCGTCAGCACATACACACACAGTTGACATGCAGTATGCATGCAAAACCTTGTCCGGAGTACACGCCGGCATTGCGACCCATGCACGTGTGCAACCACTGCATCCGACTCCCACTCCACACATGTGCACTTGCCCCTCCACCCACCTATCCTTGAACTCCTTGGTGCGGCCGCGAGCAGTGGACAGCAGGCTCGTGTTGGTGACGTCATACACGCTGTCCCTCAGCTCGTGCGCCACGCCGCAGGAGCGCCAGTGCCTGTTTTGGTGCACGCCGGGTTGTGCAGCGCAGCGTGGGTCGAGCCCGCAAGCGTTGGGGGGTGGGGGCAGGCAGGGGCGCATGAGCAAGGCACTGGAAGGGCGGGGGACCGCTGTTGCTGAGATGAGGCCAGATTGGCATCAAGCCAGCGTTTGCCGCGCCCTGCAAGCTTGAAGGGACAACCATCGCCCTGTCTGCGATTTGCTGGGAATCTCCGCAGTGCCAGCTGGCAGGGGACAGCAGTTGCTGCCGCTCCTTCAAATGCAGCGGTCGCCACGGATGTTTGTGCGCAGCAAAGCGGGCCCAGCAGCTCCCCTGCGACCCTCGAGCACGCGCACACCCAGCCCAGAAGCGCAGCAGCGAAGCAGCCCGGCCAGGTCGAATCCCACGCAGCAGCTGCTCCAAAAAGCACCCAAAGGGCACCTGAAGTGGAAGAAGTGGATGATGCTGCCAAGAGAGGCGTCGAGGCCGGGCGTCCCCCGTGGCGCAATGCGCATGTGGTAATCCCAGTCCACCTGTTTGAAAGATCACACGCGGCGGTAGTGATCTTAATCACGACCCCCAGCGAATCCAGGCGCGCGCTGCGCCCCCCCCGCGCGAGGCGTGTGGCCCTACCACAGTCGCAAGCGGAGCGGACGCCTGCACTTGTGTGTGCGCACATCGCACCGCCTGTCGGGAAGATGACTGCCGCCCTTCACCCAACCCATGTTCATGCACCCTGGCCACCCCCCGCCCCCGTGAGGCGGCTGCCTGACCCCTGCCTCACCATGTTGCGCCGTGAGTCATACCGGTCGGCGTACCACCGCCGACACCGCGTCTCCCACGCCTTTGCCATGTCGTACTGTCCCTGCGTAGGGGCCGGTGCGTGAAGAGTACGCGGCGCGACGCAGCAGGACGGGGCCTTGACGCAGCAGGCTCGGCTCTTGAACACAACACCTGCCAATCACTGTATACAGTAATGGGACACCTACGTACATGTGCAAGGGCTTGTGAAAGCCGCAGCGGCAGCCCCCTAGCTAGCCTGTGCTGCCTTGTGTACCAAGGCACAAAAGCTGGGCAGGCGGCGGCGCAGTGTGGCTTGCCTTTCCAAAATAGCAAACCCGACCTAAATACCAGCGTCTGTCGGTGTCACGGTCTGCTGCTGGCGCCGAACCGCAGCTCACCCTCCGCCTGTATCGCTGGATCGCCTCCAGCAATGCGTCCCGCTGCTGAAATCTCAGCAGCGACAGGTCAAACAGCGCCGCCAGCTGCGCCGCGTCGCCCTCCGGGCCGCTGCCGTCGGCGTCCCCGCAGCTTCCGCCCATGAGGGTCCCGGCGTCGCGCGCCGCGCGGGCGTCAGCGGCGGCGCTGCTGGGGGCGGGGGCGGGGGCGGCAGTGGAGGAAGCGGCCACCACAGCTGCCTCCAGGACCTTGCTTGCCTCCACTGTGAGTCGAGGGTGCACACCCCGGCGTGTATGTGTGTGCGTGTGTGTGTATGTGTGTGTGTATGTGTGTGTGTGTGTGCGCGTTTGTGGGGTGTGCATGAGTGTAGTTATGTATGGTATAAATGTGTGTGTCTTGGGGGGTATTGGAAGTCATGCGTTTATATCGAGCGCAAGCATACCGTACCTGCGAGCTGCTTGCTGGCACACTGCTCGGCCAGGACGTTCAGGATACTACGTGTGTAGACCAATGTGGGACAACCGCAGCACGAGCGTGTGCAACACATGCACGCAAGCACACGCGCATGCGCGCATGCAGAACACGCATGCTTCCCCCGCCGCGCACCCAGCCAGTCGGCCGTGCGCCGCCGAAGCAGCGCGCTGCCGTGCAACTCCAGAAACGCCTCTGCCCGCTCCTTGGGCGGCCTTGAGCCGTCAAGCAGTGCATACAACAGCAGCATGTGGCGTGCCAGCAGCTCTGGCTCCTCTTCAAAAACATACAGTGTCACTCGCTGCTGCCGTTGTGATCCTGCCTGCTGCTCCGGCAAAAGTGGCGGCAGCGCGGCGGCGGCGCCCTCGTCGGCGGCGGGCTGGCGGAGTGCGGAGGGGCTGTTGTCGACGCTGGTCGCCACCGCTGCTGCTGCCAGCGTGGCGAGCGTGTGGCGGCAGTCACAGGGGCAGATCTGCGGACAAAGCAGTGTTTTTATCAGTGCATCAAAGCACGAGCCATTTGAGAGCATTTGCAGGACAGACCGGCAGCATGCTGATGTAGCGCACTTGCAGCGTGCAGACGCCCTCGGCGTCGTCACCCTCTGTCATGTCAGGTTTGCCGGCTGATTCAATGACATCCAGCAGATTTATGTACGGAGAAATGCCCCAGAAGTGGTGGACGTGGTGATCGTCCATATTTGGCGCGCTGGCCGGTTTGACGCAGTCACCGGGACCAGCAGCAGCAGCAGCAGCTTCGAGTTGGCATGTACTTAATTCTGCACTTGATTCGCCGTATGCAACCACCGGACCTCCGCAACCCAATGGAAGGCAGATCACTGCTGCTTTGCTGTGTTCCGTGTATGCAGTGACGGTAGCGGGTTGGTAATTGGCTTGTATAGCGAATAGCGTAGGTAATTGTCATATCGTACAAGCATCGCATCTGCGGTTGCTCACGCCGCAACCCGCCGCCGACCGGTTGTCACCAGCCGCGTGCAGCAACCGCAGCTCGAGCTGTTGGACGCGTGCTGCTGCAGCGGGTTGGGGGACAGGCATACTGCAGCGCAGTCAATTTGCGATGATCCCCTGCTGCCCAGCAACCCGGCCTCATCCCCGCAGCAGCCACCGCCCTCACCAGTCCCGCCTTGACGTCCGGGGGCACGCGGCCCCGCGACGCCGCCACGCCGCGGCGCCCTCCGGCAGCGGCGGCGGCGCGCCGTCCGACTGCGGCTCGGTGCGGCAGCTCTCCGCCCTCGTGGCAGCGCAGGCGAAGCGCCGCGGCGTTTCCTGGAACGTGGCGGCCTTGAACCACCTCACCCGCCTCGTCAGCGCGCCGCCCGGGGGTCACCCCACACCCGCCGACAAGCGGGACGCCGCGGCCGCCGCCGCCACGCTCGCGTCGGCGCTCCAGAACGGCCTCCGTGGAGCCCCGCTCGGCGGCTTGGGGGCGGCCGCCGCGGCGCTCGCGCGGGCGCAGGGGCTGGGAAACCTCAGGCCTGCGCTGCAGGCTGCGCTTCGCGCGCTGGAGGCGGCGGCGCTAACGCTCGGCGATGGCGAGGGCGGCGGCGGGCCGAGTTGTGACGCGGCGTGCGTGGCGGCAGCGGCGCGTGGGCTCGCGGCGGCGGCGGGCGCCGGGGAGCAGGTGCCGCCAGCAGCTATGGAAGCGGTCGCGGGCGCATGCTGCCGTCTGGCCACCAGCCAAGACCCCTTGCCGCCCGAGGTTGGCGCCCCGCGCCGCGCGGCCCAAAGCAATGGCTGCCTGACCGCCCGCTGCGTGCGCTGCGGCCGCACCGCAGGCCCCCGGCCCGCTCCTGGCGCTGCGGGCGGCGTTGGGACGCCCACGGCCCCCTCTGCGCCTCCGAACCGCGCCCCCGCGTGCCCCGGCGGCGCGGCCCGCCGCCGGCCACCTTCCTTTCACACGTCCGCCGCGCAGGATGCGGCGTTGTTGGCGGGTGCTCTGTCTCAGATGACCTATTACGACCAAGCCTGCCTAGACGCCCTGGTGTCCGCCCTCCTTGATCCAGCTGCCCCCTCGAACGAGACACCCGGCCCCGACGCGGCGGGCGCCGCACCGCAGGCGCCCCCGCTGCGGGCGCTCGCGCCGTCTGCGGCCGTGGCTGCCGCGCACGCGCTCTCGCGGCTGGCGGCGCCGTGCCCGCGGCTGCTTGAGGGGCTGCTGCGGCTGTCAGAGGATGATGCATGGCTGTCGCAGCTGAACGCGAGGGGGCTGTGCATGCTTGCTTGGGCGGCAGTGATGCAGGCGGTCCTGCTGGATGAGCAGCAGCAGCAGCAGCAGCAGCAGCAGCAGCAGCAGCACCGCCCACCGCCCTGGGCGGCCTGCGACGTGCTCTGCACGCGGTGCGCCCGGCGGCTCGCGGTGGGCGGCACGGGCCGCGCGGGCGGCCTGGGGTGGCTCGGCACGCAGGCGGCTGCGCAGCTGCATCAGGCGCGCATGCTTGTTTCGGGTGGCCACAGCGAATTACTTCAAAGGGGCGTTAAACTGGGACGTTGTTTGCATTCGAGGCAGCAGCAGGAGCAGCAGGAGCAGCAGGAGCAGCAGGAGCAGCAGGAGCAGCAGGAGCAGCAGGAGCAGCAGGAGCAGCAGGAGGAGCAGGGCAACCACGACGAGTTCAAGAATGAAGCCGTTTTGCAGCTGCTCGAGAGGTGCCAGGCGGCATGGGGTGCCTCTCATGCGGTCAAGGCCGTCTCCAAGATGCAGAGGGAGATATGGCAGGTGGGCGCGCACGGCGTTTGGTACATACAGGATGCTGCCCAGCGCCTCTTGACCCAACAGGGGCCAGGCTCGCATTTCAACCCTTTGATCGGTATCTCCTCTGCTCTTCCTCCACCCTGCCTTAAAACTCCTGCAAGGCGCAACTCAGCCGCCATCCCTGAACAAACCCAGTTCAACAACTGCAAGTAGCCGCCTGGCGCTTGACAACTCGCCTATTGCAAACCTCTCCACGGCAGTTCTTTCGGGACGAGTGCGGCCTCGAAGCGTCGCTGGAGCACCCGGCCACGGCCGGCGCCGGGGACGGGGGCCTCACCATCGACGTGGCCGTCGAGGCGCCCTCGGCACGCCACTTGCTGCGCGCCCTCAGCGGCGGCGGCGGCGGCGCCGGTGCGCCAGTCGAGGGAGCGGACGGCGGCGGCGTGGAGATTGGCGACAGCGGCGGCGGCGTGAGGGTGGCGGTCGAGGCGGACGGCCCGACGCACTTTGCTGCAAACGACGCCTCGCGCCGGCTGGGGCCGACCGTCGCGCGCGACTGGCTGCTGGCGCGGCTCGGGTGGCGTGTCGCGTCCGTTCGAGAGTGGCCGGCCGCGAGCGAGGGCGCGAGGCGGCGAGGGGTGCTGCTTGAAAGCGTCTCGGCGGCGCTGGGGGCTACACTTGGGGCTTCGTTTGGCGAGCCGCCAACATTTACGAAGATCTGACGTGCGCAGCAGGGCAAAACAAACAAAGCAACACACGCTGACGTGTAGAAGACATGGTTTGGGGCATCTATGCCGCAACTGCCGCGTGTGCGGCACCACCTGTTGGTCAATCAGTAACGGCTAGATCGATGACTTATAACAGCAGTCAATGTGTTGTGACAGGCTACAGAGGAGGCGGCGGTCAGCGAGAGGGTGTCACCAATTCACCGATTTGCAGCCAGCTGTCAGAGGCATCAATGTTGCCGGAGTTGGGCACACTGAGAATGGCAGGCAGCAATGCTGGTCCGGCTCGCTGGCTCGCAACTAAGTTGGCAAGTCAAGGCATGCTCTGGCAAGCTGACAGGCTAAGCTGCACTGTCACCACAACAAACGGAGCAAACTTCCCTACCTTGATGGTGTTGGTTGGCTGTGTGTGCTGCTGCACACATTCTAGTGTGAATGAAACCACCGGCGACGGGGACTGCATACAGCATCCTAGCCAGGGCAGATGATAGTAGCCCCTTCCCCCGAATTCTGCATGACTAGCACCCATGTCAGGGAATGTCTAAAATTACGCAGAACTTGTGAGGGCGAGTTGGCCCAGCAGAATCGGTCGCATCAGTGCGTCACGCACGTGCCAGGCCGCGACGCAACATCGCGCCGGGTATCCTGTGGTGGAAGGGGCCCCTTTGCTTGCAGAGGGTGGTCTGGTTTGGTGCGCACCTCTGCAAGTGCTCCAGCCTCCAGCCGCCCGGGCGCCGGTTGGCTGGTGTGAACTCGCGCACTCACCAACACTTGAGAGCCTTGCACTGTACAGGCAGCGCGGCGTGGGGCGGCCGTGCGGGTGCAACATCCTCCCGTGCTTCAATGTGATTACACCCATCATTTTTGATCCGTCTGGGGCCCAAGAGAGCGCCAGTCGTTGGCGCTTTCGGTGTCATCACGAAGTCAATTGCGAGTGTGGGCCCCGTCCCATGCACCCACTCGTTATTTTGCCGTCAATGTGAGTTAAGTTACCCACAAGCCAAGATCAGGGACCCACCCTTTGCACACAAGGCCCCGGCAACAAGGCAGCGGGCAACGCGACCTGTCGAGCGCATCGATCATGCATAAATGTCAGAATGTTAGATTTGTACCCGGGCCTCATGCCGGCTGAGCTGATATAGATCAGCGACCCCGGCGAAGCGCCCATCAGGACGTGCCAAACGGGAACCATTGCTCAAGTCAGCATAGAAGCGGACATAGCTGCAGCAACTTTCCGATATGGGCGGCTGCGCGTCAGCGCCCGCTGTGAAGGACGGGCGCGCCACTCACGCTTTGCAGTCGACGCCACCGGCGACGGCAGCGCTCCCAGTGGTGCACCTGTCACCCCCGCCCAGCGCGCGCGACACGGTCAAGCAGGCGCCTCCGCAGCCGCCGCTCGAGGATTTCGCTTTGGAAGGGCGTGTGGGCAGCATCACCGTGAAGCGCCTGCGCACGGGCAGTTCTCAGACAAAGCTTCAGATGCAGTTCCTGACCGAGGTGGGTCACCCGCGCGCCGCCCGGGTGACCCACGCCCGCCACCCTCGCGCAGCGGCAGGGGGGCCTGCCCGGCACCCCGGCAGCGCAGGGCCAGACTAGGGGCGAGGCGGGGAAGACCGCCGCACGCACCCCTCTTATGCCTTCAGCCCCACTGCGCCAACCCGCCGGTGCCTCGCTCAACGCGGGCGGGCGCCGACTTCGCGTCCCACCAAGCCTTACCAGGGCCCCTTGTTGCCGTATATCTGAAACTCCTGCGTCGCGGCTCAATTTTCACAGGTGCACGATCTGCAGCAGCAGCTGGCTCTGGCCAACGCCAACCCCCTCCTGGGGCTGGGGGAGTGCGCCGAGCTGCTGACCGGACACCTGAATGTTGACCTGGTCGCGTGAGCCATGCCATCCTAATGATTACACGCCATTATTCACTGCCTTGTGACTGATTTATCGACTTCAAGCCTTGGGCAGCAGCTAGCAACTTGCTGCACTCAGCCAGGCCGCCGCACGCTCGCGGCGTTTTTTGCTGCCGCTTTCAAGAGCCGCGCGCACACCAAGGGCGCCGCCTGCCCCCTGGACCCGCTTCCCCTCGCGCGCGCGACGCCCCCAATCCCTCTTGCCGCCGCGGACCGGTGACGCCTGCCGCGCAGCGTCTGGGTGTTTTCGGCGGAGGACCCGACCGCGGCCGTCCTGATGGCCGCGCACGGCGCCGGCGCGGCGCTGCTGCAGCGCTGCGTGGTGGTGCGCTGCCCTGGCGGCGCGGCGGGCGTATTGAGCAGCGTCTCGGTCGCAGACGCCGCTGCGGCGGAGGTGCGCGGGAACCGCTACGAACCACCTGTCCGGGCCGTGCAGCGGGGGGCGGCGGCGGCGGCATTCAACACTGCACACCGCTCGTGGCAACCCCCACCCCACACCCCTGCGGCCCCCCAGCCCGCCGACTCTGCAACCCCTGTCTCGCCCCACCCCCACCCCACACGCCTGCGTCCCGGCGCCCCTCCCCTGTCCGCCCACTCCGCGGCCCCTCAAACCCCTGCCGCCCCCGCAGCCGGCCGGCGGCGTGCCTGATCACCTCCTGCAGCTGTACCGGATGGCTGGGCTGCGCTCCATCGTGGCGGTGCCTGTGGGGCCTCCGGGGGCGCCGCTGGGGTCGCTGCTGATGGGCAAGGCGGCGCCGGACGCTTTTGCAGACGACTGGTGCGTGGTGATTTCCTCGTGCATATGTGGTTGTGTGAACGTTTTGCATGTGTGTGAGTGTGTGTGTGTGTGTGTGTGTGTGTGTGTGTGTGTGCATGCGCGAGCGCGTCGTGTGTGCATGCATGGTGGTGTGTGTTTTCTGTCTGTCTGGGTGTGTGGGGGGGACGCACAACATGCATGCACATGCACGCGCGTGTGCATTCATGACATGCCTTCGCGTGATCAGACTCCTGTGGCAGGGGATGGCATGGGCGCCTGGGTGGCGCTACACCCTGGGCTGGGCTCCCAGCCTCATGCACCATCCAAGCAGCAGGCCCTCCTTAGCCGCTCCCTGGCTGACGCGTGAGTATGCTCGCACACACGCACACATGCAAGCACTTTCACACGTGCACACGCGCACACACACAAAGTTTTCCGCCCGGTCACACCTCGTTCGCACCCCGCGTGCACCCCAACCCCCCAGGTGGCATGTGCGCCTGCAGGCGGTGGCGATGGGCCTGCTGCAGCACGTGCGGCACGGCCAGGTGGAGCAGATGGCGCAGCTGCTGCGGGCGCTGGACGAGGTGCAGGACCCTGTGGCCCTCATCAGCGTGGTGCTGCGGGTGAGCGGCCCCACACACCCTGCCAGACACACACACACACACACGCACGCACGCACGCACATGCATACACGGACACACTTCATTTGATTCATACTACCACACAGCGATTGCCCCTGCCTCATACACAACGCGCACACACACATACACAACACACACGCATCACCAAGCCGAATCACCCCGACCCAAAACTCGCAACCACGCGCCCGCGACGCCCCGCTCCCAACCAACGCCCGCCCCCGCAGAGCGCCCAGCGCTACATGTTCAGGGCTACCACAATGCACACCACAGCCCGCCTCGCCCTGCTGCAGCGCGAGGGCGCGGCCGAGGCGCTGCTGTTTGAGACGCCTGGGGGCGGCTCAAAGGAGGAGCTCATGGCGGGCTGCGGCAAGAACCAGCTCGCGCTGCGCGGCGACGCATCGGCGGAGGTGGGGGCCTGCCGCGACGTCCCTGGGGCGGGGACGTGATACCGCGGCCGGGTCTGCAGTGCGGCTGATACCTGCCAAGGGGGGGCCCGTGTCGAAGTATGGGTGGGAATGGGAATTCTGGCAGAATCCAGGGAGCCACCCCAGCTGGTGTTGAGAGAGGGCGGCGCGGAAGGGTTTGCGGCTGCGGTGGAGCAGGGTGGCGGGGCTTGGGGGATGCTATGAATGCCAGAAAGACGGTTGTCATGTCAGGTCATGTACCGTGATTTCCCACCCTGCATCACCCTCTGCAGGTGGTAGCGAGCCAGCTGGGGCTGCAGCACACGCTGCTGGCGTCGAGCGTGAAGCAGCAGCAGGCGCGGTTCATCCAGGACTGCTCGCTCTACATGCAGGTGCGCGCGGCCGCGGCCGCGGCTGCGGCGTGCGGCTGCGGCTGCTTCTTGCCCGCGCAGTGAAGCGCGTGATTCGAAGCCTTTTGCGCGTGTGTGCCTGTTGGTTGCGCATGTGTTGGGTTGCGGGGTGAGTCCTTGGTGCGATGTCAGGGAGCGCTGGAATTTTGAGGCGGGGGAGGCTTGAGGTATTGGTTGTTTCGTGGCGGTCTAGGGAGCCGCAATTCTGCATACATTGCTGATCGCACGCAGAACATTTCACCTCAAATCACAGAGACACACTTGCCTGTGCATGCGCACACACAAACACACACACACACACACTCACTCTCTCTCTCTCTCTCTTTCTCCCTCTCCCACGCCATGCATCACGCACACACACGCACGCACACACACACACACACACACACACACACACACGCACACACACACACACACACACACACACAATCAAACACCCACGCGTCCACGCACCCGCACCACCAACCACCCCAGACCTGCGCGCGCCCCGCCAAGGACATATTCACGCGCGCCTCTGAGCTCGTGTCCTCCCTAGTGGTTGTGCCCCTGCTGGCGCCGGAAGACGAGGGGACGCCGCTCGGCGCGGTCTACTTTGCTCTTGACCACCCCTGCGAGTTTGAGAACATGCAGGATACGCTGCTGGTGAGGGGGGCGGCGCTGCCGGGTCGCACGCGTGCGTTGCACCTTGGGTGCCGGGGCCGTCATAACACCCTGCGCCCGGCACCCTGGAACCCGCCTTCACATCGCATCGCCCCGCACCTTGACACGCACTGGACATCGACGGAAACGCACTTTTGTGCCACTTCTTGCCTTCACTAGTCGCATTGGCATGGCATCCCCCCTCTCCCAAACACAGCCACCAGCCCTTGAGCAAACCCTTGATTCATTCGGCTCTCTACAATACCCCATGTGCCCCTTGACGGCGATCCCACTTCATACCCATCTCACGCACCTGTCGTTTTGAAATCTGCACTCGCCCCTGAATCGCCAGGGCTTCATCCATGGAACGAGCCACATGTTGCACAACAAACTGTCGGGGCGGTCGGACGTGCTCGCAGCAATGGTGGCTAAGGTGGGCGCCGGGCCCGCGTGTGCATGTGTGTGTATTTGCGGGGTGTCTGCCGGCATGTTCACGTGCATGTGCGTATGCTTGGGGGTGAGATGAGCGCACGCGCACGTGTGGGAACCAACACTCTGTTTGGTCGCCCGGAGCTGCTGCAGCAACCAGGGCTGTCGCTCACGTTGAGCGCAGCTGGATGTGGAGGGTTGCGCGCACTACTGCAGGCACATGCCGTCCCTCACAACCGCCCGCGTGTGCAAATGCGCATGCGTGCACGCGTGCTCACACACACACACACATGCGCAAACAACCACACACACAATCATACTCATACACACGTACCCCTATCCCCCCGCCCCCTTCCCGGGCGCTCCAATCCAAAGGCCCAGCGCCGCGCGCTCACGGTCAACTCGAGCGCCACTGACCCAGCGCTCAACGCGATCAACGAGGCGCCGGCCGCCTCCAGCGGCTCATCTGACGGCGCCGCCGGCGCGGGCGTGGCCAACGGCCGTGTCGGTGGCGCGGAGTCCGATGCAGCGCGGTCGGCGCGCAGCGTCTCAAGGGGCGGCGGGCACGCGCGGCTGAACACAGAAGCGATGCTCAAGGTGGGTGGGCTGGTGCGACGCCTGTGACGGGCGTGTGCGTATGAGCACGCGCTTCTTTTTGGGAACGCTAAACGCCTCGACCCTGCGGCGCTTTCGCGCTGGGCGGCGGCTGGACGTCCTTCGCTCAACAGCCCCAGGGTTTTTCCACCTGTCTTGTCACACCCTGGTGAAGCCTCCCTTCATGAGACCCCTCTGTATGCCAGTCCTTGAACCCTGACCCGCCCATCGCTTTGGTCCCCAGCGCGCGCACGTCGCACCAAGTGCAGCTTGAGACATGCCTCTCCTTTGCAACCCGTGCACGTCCATGCCGTTTCGCACCGCTTCCCCCCTCTGTGGACGCTCGGACGAACATTCCGACCCCCCTGAACCGTGTCCCCTGAGCCACATCCCCCTGGTCCCCACCTTCCGAAACCACCCCTCTGAATCCCACCCTTCTCAACCCGGCCGCAGCTGGTGCAGCAGGAGATTCGCAACAGCCGCCGCCGCACCGCTGAGCTGTCGTTTGTACCAGAGCTCGTGGTTGGGGAGTGCCTCGGCCGCGGAGGTGGGTATGTGTACATGCAGTGTATCAGATACTGCGTATATCTGTTATGTGTTGTAGTTCAATTGCATGGTTTGACAATCCCAATAATGTTTGGCATCTGTGTTCGATTGGCCTGACCAGGGAGAGTAGCTGGCAAGAAGCGGCAAATATCTTTGTGCAGGAACGATCTTGTATGTGTGCGCAACGTCATCGGGCCCTCACTGCCCCCACGCGCACGCCCGCGCCTCCATCAATGTGACCACGCCTCTCACGCACGCCCCTGCGCGCCCGCCGCACGCGCTGGGGCCGTCCAGCGTGCGCGTGGGGGACTCAATGCCCCCACGTCCCCTTGTTTGGGAGGCACAGCTGCTACAGCCGACCCAGCTTAATATCCCTGCCTTCACACGCACCCCCCTTCTTCCTGCTTTAACCCCCACAAACCTTTGGCCTCACACAACCTCCAGCTCTTCAAGTATAGTCAGATTGAACGCCATGCAAAACAATATGACTGAGGGGAATCGAACTTGCATTCCCCACTCCCCAGGTTTTGGCACCGTGTTCCGCGGCTACTGGCACAAGGTGGTGGTGGCGGTGAAGGTCATGCACACGCGCAAGAACGAGCGGGAGGTGGGGGCGCGCATGCACGCACCATGGTTGAGGGTTGATGGGCTGGTGGTCGTGAAGGCAAGGGCTTGGCTGCGAGCTTGTGCGTGTGTGAGGGGGTTTGAAAGGGGATTCCTTGTTCATGTTGTCGTGACTCATTTCAAACTGTTTCATGCAAATCCTACCATGCAAATATCGGCTTGCATATACACACGCCAAGGGGCTCTGGGTGTACCTTAGTCTACCGGAACTTTGGTTTACCAGAACCTTAGTTTGCCGGAATGAGTCATGCATTTCAGCTGCACCTTCGCTTCCATTGCTGAAAGCACCCCTCATTCCCCTCGCAACCTCGGACTCCTCAACAGGCCATGAAGGACGCGGTGGAGATGGCGGTGCTGTCGTCGGTGCAACACCCCAACATCGTCAGCGTCTACTCCTGCCTCACGGACATGGTCGAGATCGGGGGAGGTGAGGTCTGGCCAGATCTCACAGGCAAGTTGAGAACATTTCGAGCGTCTGGTCATTCGCTGTGTTGACACATTCGCTGTGTTGTTAAGCCCCCGAAGGTCCTTGCTGACATCAGCACAGGCCGTCCACTCCCTGAAGCGCCTTTTCAAGCTGTCACCCCGTTTGTGTTACTGCCAGCCTTCCCAGCAATCTCCAGGCCCGCATCTCCAGACACATACATACACGCGCGCACACACACACACAGACACACACACACACACACACACGCACACACACACACCCACACACCTTTCCACGTCCCCCTCACAATGCCGCCGACACCCCCACCCACTAGCCTGCACCCCTGGCACCACACTCCCAGCAACCCCCCTCCAAAGCAACATCAGCTACCCCTCAACCCCCTCTCGCCCCCACCCCCGCTGCAAACATGAAAGATGACGTCATGTCCATGTCCAGCATGGGCAGCTTCAACGGTTCCATGCGCATGAAGTTCCGGCGGCTGCAGCCTGACGAGGATCCGGACGGGGCGCTGGCGACGTGCAACATCCTGGTTATGGAGGTGGGTGCCTGAGCGCACGTGTGTGTGTGTGTGAGTGTGTGTGTGTGTGTGTGTGTGTGTGTGTGTGTGTGTGCGTGTGTGTGTGTGCGTGCGCGCGCGCGCCATTGCTTTCCCTGACGCAACATCCTGGTCATCGAGGTGAATTCGTGGGCGCCTCTCTATGTGAGCGCCTGTGTATGTGTGCGTGTTTGTGTTTGTGAGGGCATGTAAGTGCGTGAGTGCATGCGTGTGTGTGTGTGTGGGGGGGGGTGGTCGAAGATCAAGTTGGCGGAAAGCACGATGCACCCCTTTCTGCCAGCAACCTAAGGGCAATGGATGGACACGCAACCCTCCCTGTCCTTTCGTGCCGACGCAACCGCGCCACATCACCGCACGCCGCCCCCCCCCCCCGGGTTTGATGGTCACATGCACAATCACGCACCTTGTGCCGATGCGAACCGACCCGGCTTGGCCCCCCCCCTGCACACCCCGAGCTACCATTTCAAGTGCTGTCCTGCATCAGCGCCTCAACCCCGCACCCAGCAAACCCTGTCCACACACCAGTCCCAAATAAAACCTCCCCACGGCAGTTTTGCGATAAGGGGACACTCCGCGACGCCGTCAAGGCCTTCACCTTCCACCAGGAGCTCGAGGGCGGCGCCATCGGCGTGGACGTCACCGCGGCGGTGGATGTACTGCAGGACATCGCGTATGCGGTACAGTACCTGCACAACGTGCACCTGGTGCATGGGGACATCAAGGTGCGCCCGATGGTTTCGGATCTGATGTTGGATCTGATCTTGATCTGATGGATCGGGGGCCTAACAGTCGGCGGACGGGCTCAGGGATTGAGGCTTATGGTGGGGCCTAGTAAATTGCCTACAGCAGGCTGGCCGTGGGCCGCCGTAGGCGTGGGCGGCGAGGGTGAGCCCCGCTTGCAGCCGCCCGCCGCCGCGGGGCCCGCTGGTCGCAGCCGCACCTCAGGGCACCAGGCGGCCGACCTCCCCCCCACAAGCATAACCCACTCGACCTCGCTTCCCGTCACCACGTGTCACCGCGTCACCGCAATGACCCCCGGCCCCGACCCCTCACACTGCGCCGCAGCTTGAGAACATTCTGCTGAAGACAGACAGCTCTGTGCGGCTCGGCGTGATGCCCAAGGTGTGTCCAGTTTTGTCTGGTGCCCAAGGGCGCCCCGACCCATGCCACTCCCTGCCGCTTGCCCCGCATGGCGACCCTTGACTCCTCCTCTGACTGCTGCAATGGGAACAGATTCACTAGGACATTCACATTAGATAACGCATCTGCATTCGGCTGCACCCCGCTCCCGGGCAGCCAGCGGCCGTGGACCGCTCCAAAGAGGCCCCCGCTCCCTTCTCACCCCGGCCCCCGCTCGGCCCGCCACGCGCACACGCCCCCCCGGTCTCCTCGGACTGCCGCCAGCTGGCGGACTTTGGGCTGACTAAGATCCTCAACCAGCAGTCTGAGCACGTGGTCAACCTCAGCGGCGGCGGAACAGTCACGCATCTCGCTCCAGGTGAGATTCAGAGTGAAAAGCTCTTCCGTGTGCGGGTGTCATCTCAGGTTCCGCCCGCACACGCAAGAGCTTTTCACTTGCGTGTGCGGGCGGAACCTGAGATGAGGGATTACTGTTTTTTGGGGAAGGGGACGGGGGTGGCGGCGGCGGGGGTTTGCTTTCCGTCTGGCAGTGCCCTGGCCGTCTGACTGTTGGGTGAGGGGGGGGTCCTGCTGTCGCTGGTGTCTCATGCGCGCGCTATGCCGGTCCCTTCCACGCGCGAGGTGCGAGCGCGCCGGAGGGTGGGTCCCTCTCTGGGCTCGCCACTCGCACACGTGGTCCCCCCTGCACACGCGCATACGTGTGCATATGGAAACGCACCTACCGTATTCACTCCTGACGCGCGCAGAGATGTTCCAGGCGGGCAGCAAGGTCACGACGGCGGTCGACGCCTACGCTTTTGGTGCGCATCATGTGCTTCGTTGTTAGGCGGGCGGGGTGTGGGGCACACCGCGGCCCTGCACCCGCATGCCACGCGCGCCCCGCATTGGTGTGCCTCACTGCCACCCTCACGACAGCCCGCCGACTACTCAGTCACCCGTCCGTCACCCGTCCATTACCCGTCCGTCACTTGGGCCCCTATCCGCACCCGCATTGCGGGTGATGCGCAGGCATCATGATGTACGAGCTGTACTGCCGCAAGCGCGCATACAGCGGCATACCCCCCGGCTCCATCATTGAGCGCGTGTACAAGCAAGGGCTGCGGCCGCGGTTCCCCAGCGCCACGCCTCGGAGTTACGCCGGCTTGGCCGAGGCGTGCTGGCAGGTGCGGCGGGTTACACCCACCCATCCGCCACCCATCCGCCATCCATCCGCCACCCTGTGCGTGTGCCTGGTTTGGACAGCCCAGGCGCACACTTGTGCGCTACCTGCTGGCTCGGCGCATGGCGCCCGGCGCCCTTGGGTTGCCACGCGCCTGCGGGGGCACCGCCTGGCGCCGCCCGCCCATCCCCCAGCTAGCTTCTCCACCTGCGCTCCTTCGTTCCGCCGGTCGGGGCATCCCCTAAAGTGCACCCTGAGGGATCCCCTAAAGTGCACCTGTGGAAACGCCTCGTCACGCATCCGCGTCACCCAGCCCGTCACCCGGCCCGTCACCCGTCACCCGCTGCGTCACCTCCCGTCCCTCCCGCCCAGACCGACCCCACGAAGCGGCCGACGTTTGCAAAAATCGCGGAGCGCTTGGAGCAGCTGGCAGTCGAACTCGCGCCGCAGCCCGGCGCGGATGCGCGCCCCGGCGCCTAGCCCGCGCACGAGTGCGAGGTTTCAACCCCGTCGCGGCGGTGGCGCCTGAGCTACGCCCATGCCTGTCATGCGCGGCAGCAGCAGCAGCGGCGGCAGCAACGGCCGCGGCGGCGGCGGACGCCGCCCAGTGGGCGGCGGCTGCCCACTTCAGTTCTTTGCGCGGCCTGGCGGCGCTCCAGGCCTGCGCTCAGCGCCGCCTCGCAGTAGGCTCCCTGTCACGCGCTCTGGGGGCGTGCCGCGTAGATATACGTCGCCGCACGTATGTGTCGCAACCCCCGGGCAGCGATACGCTGAGTTGTAGTTGCGCATAGATTGCATTGCATTTCACCATTGCCAAACGCCAACCAATGGTTGCATCATCGCCATCTGCACAGCGCCCACCACCACAACTCGTCGACCCGCCCGGTCACGGAGATCCCTTGATCCGCCGGCGACCGATCCGCTTCCGTTGCCGGCCCCGCGCTGGCTGCCGCGCATCGTAGAACGAGCTGGCTGCAAGCACCCTCAGCTGCGCGCTCCCGTTTGCTTGCGGGCCAGGTTTTGTTTCAGCGGGCGCGCCTGCGCGTGCTGCTGGTTCATGCGTTTGCGTTCTGCAGCCGGGCCGCGCGGCGCCACGCGCCTGCGCATGAGCAACGCAGTGGGCCGGCCCGGCTTTGCGCCCCCTTGTCTTAGTTTCTCTCCCCCTCTCTCAGGGGGGATCTCTCTTTCTTTGCTTCTCAGCATATCAAGAGTGTTTCCCACTCTCTCGTTGCATGCATATATCTCGACAGAGTCTCCCACCTCTCTATATATGAAGGAAATATTCATCACATCGTTGTTGTTTTGGGGGCGGTTGGCCAGCCTGACAGGGCCACGCCCCCGCGGCGCGTCCCCTGGGCCGACCAGCCGCAAATCAAAAGTCGTCCGGCGCCCGGGTTTCCGCCGTCCATCGCGCCGGTGCCTTTGGGGGCCCGGATGACGGGGCGGACGTCGCCTCGTGCAGGCGCCCTGCCTTGCACCTCTATGAAGAGCCAAAAGAGGGTTCGTCGAGTTGGCTGCATTTCGGAATGAGCTGGTCGCAGCCTCTTCACGGGCGGGCGGGCGGGAGTCCCGTGCCGGCTGGCAACGCCTTGGCGCCCGCAAATTGTCATGCGGGGTGGACGGCACGCGACACCTTTGCGGGTCGTCCCCGGCTGCCGGGCCCCGCTCGGCTTCCTGCCGCCGCCGCCCCTCCTGTTGCGGAGGCGGCCGCGTGGCCGCCTGTGCCGCCCTTTGCAGGGCCCCCACTGCAGCGCCACCCCCACTGCAGCGCCACCCCCACCGCAGCGCCACCCCACTGCAGCGCCACCCCCACTGCAGCGCCAACCCCACCGCAGCGCCGCCTGCGGCGGCGCACGACGCGCTGGTTTTGCCCTTCAAAGTTGCCGAAGCTTGCGTGGCGCGCTGGGTGTCGCGTTTGCAGGCAGCCTCGGGCGCCGCCGGCGCGCCGCGCCCACCTGCCGGCCGGCGCGGGGCCCGCACCCACGGCAGGGCCTGGGTTTTGCGAGCAAGGCAGGCGGCTGGGGTCCCGGGCGGCGCCTGCCGCGGTTTGGAGTTGGCGGTTGTGCGCTCGACCAGGTGATTCCCGCCTGAATTGCGGGCCGGTCACCTCCGAGCAGTACATCCGTCTCATTTTCATGACTTGCCCATGCCACCGGGCCGATCGCGGGCACCACCGCCTCTCCATTGTTGGTCAGTGTTCCAAGGCGCGCGCAGCAGCCGACCGACGCGTGCGCACAGTGAGACTCCCCCCGCCGGCCGCGGCCCGCGGCCCGCGGCGCGCGCAGGC